CACACACACACACACACACACACACACACACACACACACACACACACACACACACACACACACACACACACACACCAATCCCTCAAACCATTAAGGAAGAATGAGCAGCAATCCTTTTCAAAGTCTTCACTCCTTTACATCCTGCTTTTTGCAGGTTAATTGGAGATAAGAGTCTCTTGTATTTTCCTGCCCCAGGCTGGCTTCAAACCATGATCTGCAGATCTCAGCCCCCTGAGTAGTTAGAATTACAGGCATGAACCTGTAATTTCTTAAACCTCAATTAATGAGGTTTAAGAAAAAAAGCTTTCTTAGTGAGGGATGTAACTCAATTGTAGAACATGAGTGAGGCCCTATCTGTGGATTCTCAGAACTCAGCATGCCCCCCGCCCCCCAATCCATCTCTGTCTTATAAAAGTGTTAGATGATGCAGGCAGTGCTGATACAGCAGGTCATCCTGAGGATGTACCTAAGCTAATGGAAGGCAGCCTCCAAATAACAGGTTCACAGAGTGGATGACACAGCCTTCTACTAAGGGAAGATGCCATATAGGCCTTTAGAAGATGTCATCCATGACAGGGCCTGGTTTTGGAGTTTCAAAGGACAGGCTGCCTCTTGCTAGGCCAAGGGTCATTTATCATCCAGAGATCCTAGGGCCCTTAAGAATCATCTTAAATCCACTCTGTCAACTCTGGAACAGTGCAACAACAATGCCCAGATGGTGGCTCATTTGTCTACACGGTGGTTCCGGAGGAGCTTTAGTCACTGTTGAGACCTACTACGCAGACTAAAAGATTCCTTTCAACATAACAGGTGCTCAGTGACAGGGCACCTGCTCACCCCTAGCTCCGATGGCCTCGTACAAAGAGCTCCGTGTTGTTTTCATGCCCGCTGACCCTGCAGCCCACAGAGCAGGGAGGGACAAATATATTACATAAGCTATAACTGCCTTACATCAGGAATCCTCTGATGGACCAGGAAAGGCTTCAGTATTCTAGACATTGTTAAGAACATTTGTGACACGTAGGATGAGGTAAAACATCAATAATAGAACTTTGGTATGATTGCAACCTTCATAGGTAGCTTTGAGGGGTTCAAGACCTTAGTGGAGAAAGTCACTGAAGAAGTGGTACGAATAGAAAGAGGGCTAGTTAGAAGTGGAACCTGAAGTGGAACCTGAATCTCGTGATAAAGAGCTACTTCTTATGAGTAAAAAAGGAGTCATTTCTTAAGATGGAATCTATCCCAGCAAAGATGCTAGGGACATTGTCAAAATGACAATGAAACATTTAGATTAAATATGCTTTGTTGATAAAGAGCAGCAGGGTTTAAGAAACTGAAAAGATTCCAATTCTGGAGAAGTTCTATTATGGGTAGAATGCTATCAAATAGCTTCACATGATACAGTATCTTTCAGGGAAAGAAGTCAGCAGATACAGCCAACTTTATTGTTGTCTTAAGGAAATTGCCACAGTCATCCCAACCTTCAGCACCCACCACTGCAACTGTTACCAGCCATCATCCTCAAGGCAAGACCCTCCACTAGCAACAGAGATCACCACTTACTGGAGACTGATTGGTCAGTTGTGGGGGTGGACTTAGAGCCTGGGCACTGTCCCTGAGCTTTTTCACTCAAGGCTAGTGCTCTACCACTTTGAGCCACAGTGCCACTTTCTGGTTTTCTGGTAGTTAACTGGAGATAAGAGTCTCATGGACTTTTCTGCCTGGGTTGGCTTTGAATTGTGATCCTCAGATCTCAGCCTCCTGAGTAGCTAGGATTAAAGGCATGAGCCCCCAATGCCCTGCATCCCCCCGCCCAAGCAACAGAGTACTTTTAAACTAAGGTACATACATATTTTAGACATAATGGTCTTATTGTACACTTAAGACTATAGTAGACTACATATCACCTTTATAATAAGAATAAAAAATTTAAGCCTTTTCAACAAGATGGCGCCAAAAGTGAAGGGCGCTCTTGCCCCTCCAAAGCTGAAGCCAAGACAAAAGGCTTTGAAGGCCAAGAAGGCAGTGCTGAAAGGTATCCACAGTCACAAAAATAAAGTAAGCACTTCACCCACCTTCCGGTGGCTCCAGAGGCAGCCTAAATACCCTCGGAAGAGTGCTCCGAGGAGAAACAAGCTTGACCACTACACTATCACCAAGTTCCCCCTGACCACTGAGTGAGCCATGAAGAAGGCAGAAGACAACACAGCTGTGTTCATTGCGGATGTCAAGGCCAACAAGCATCAGATCAAACAGGCTGTGAAGAAGCTCTGTGACATTGACGTGGCCAAGGTCAATACCTTGATCAGACCTGATGGAGAGAAGAAGGCATATGTTCCACTGGCTCCTGATTATGATGCTGTAGATGTTGCCAACAAAACTGGATCATCTAAACTGAGTCCAGCTGGCTAATTATAAATATACATTTTTTTCCACAATAAAAGAAGACTATAGTACAGTGCAAACATAACTAACTTTGTGGAATGCTAAGGTTCCTCGGGAGTTCTCCGAGAACCAGCACAGGACATAGGGTCTTCCAAACTTGTTTTCCCCCAAATCTTACATTTGAAAATTTGACTTTCAATATATTAATATAACGGTCTGCTGCCAGTAGGTCTAAAAAATTTTGACCTAAAAAAATATAACACCATTGATTTTTAAATATTTCTAAGAGTACTTTTTGGGGGGTTCCCTATCTGTTAGAACAGTGATAGGAGCTTGTTTTTTCTTTTGTGCTGGTACTCAGAACCTTGAACTCAGAACCTTGAGCTCTCAGATTTTTCTGCTCATGACTAGTGCTCTACTACTTTGAGCCATGCCTCCAGTTCTGGCCTTTTACTAGTTAACTAGAGATAAGACTCTTGCAAATTTGTCTACCCAAGCTGGCCTGGAACCTTGATCCTTAGATCTTAGCCTCCTGAGTAGCTAGGATGATAGGTGTGAGCCACCAGCACTTGGCTACGCCCTTTCTAATGTTTCTTAAAACAAGATTTTGGCAGTTTCTTTTCTGAGCACAAGGTCTGGTATGTGATAAGCTGCCTGGGTTCAAGTCTGGTGCTGTATGTGCCCAAGGCTCCTCTGTACATGAAGAAGCTTTTCATCCCCCACCATGTCACTGCCCTCTTGGCATCTTGGGCTGCTATCCAGAATTGGAAGACAAGGATCCCCAGAGGCTATTTTCACAGGAATGAGAGGTCAGGCCTGAGCAATCAGAAATAGGTCAATGACTTCTTAAAGCAACTGTCTAAAAAGGGGATGCTTTTCTTTGCAAATTTCTTTTCTCTCTTTACTGTTTTTTTTTTTAATCAAACAGATAAAATGATTATCTGGAAATCCTTGATTTGGTTTGGTTTTTAGAGAGCTGCCATAATACCTTTAAGGTTTTTATGGAAGTTCTGCTATTTCTAGTCTCAATAATTTGAGATAAAGTTGGCGGGAAAATATAAGCAAAAGGTTTCAATATTTGAGCTAAAATGCCTGCTTCTTCCAGACTTAAAGGGATGGTTTTTGGAAATTTTAATTAGTTTGTTTGGGTGCATGCCACTAGCAATAATAGAGAAAAATATTTAACGTGAGACCCTTTCTCTGCTGAGTTTAGTCATCCTTACTTTCACGGTCATCTCATCTGTGTTCTTATTGGGCTGAAGCTAATATGGCGTTTTCTGTTTACTACATCTTTGCTTCCTCAGTGAGGCAGCAGATCACTTCGGTGAATTTCTGCATCAGAGCCAGCAGGGGGAGCTCACTCACACAAGAATCTGAAGCCCATCTGCAAGGGGAATGAATGGTGGAAAAGCAATCCAACTTTCTTCAGTAAGCATGGCCTCTTTTGCATGTGGAGGAAACAGCATACAATAAGCAGCAGAATATTGACAAAGGTGCTTAGATGAGGAGCCCTTGAAAAGGTGCACTGAGAGACGGCTCAGCAGCCATTGCTTCAGGGCAGGGCTACTGCCCACAGCAGGTGCGTATTTTGCCCGTACCTGTTTTTCAAGGCTTGGCTTGCTAAGCTGTACAGTTTGAGGTCCAGCGAGTCTGGTCCCTGGAGTAGCTATCACAATGCTGGTGAGCTGGGCCATGGGGAACGTTTTGGCTATGGTTGCGGTCTGCCCATTGACGACACGGACAGGGTGGATGGAATTCTGGGAAGTGGGGAGGGTTGTGGGGGTAAACTTGGTCAGCATGACAGGCCTCTGGATAAGTTGAGGAGCTGCAAGCATGGGAGGAGGTGCTGGGGCGATAGGAATGTTATTCTGAGCCACAGGCTTGGGTCGAACCTATGGGGGAAAGAGAATAATTATTGTATTACTTAAAGAAACTTCTCAAGTCCTATAAGTCTAAACCATGCCAACTCTTCCATACCAAATATGTGACGCGGTACTTACAGATCTCAGGACATATCTTATAAAAGACTCACTCATCAGTTCCTAAGAGGATGCAAAGCTACCCTAGCACGTGGTACTGCTGATTCTAAACCCTCGATTCCTCTGCTATGCCGGGGTTAGAGGCCTGGCCCAGAGACTGGTCCCACCCAGAACTTGTGCCCAGTATAAAAGTAATGCTGCTGAATTTCTCCTTATCTAGAGCTTCAGTTCACCTACATTTTTGTCCCTCTTGACCACTCCTCCTGTCTCCTAGTGTGGCTCACTTGTCTGTTAAACATTTGTATTTCTCAGGACGAGGTCCTGGAACTCCTCTTCTTCCCAGTGTCCTTACTCTTCCTAGAAGCCCTTGGCCAGACTGCAGCCTCTCTTCCCATCTCTATGCTGTAGCTTTCACTTTTACCTTTGGATCAGAGACACTTCCTGAAGTGAAGAGTCATACTAAACTAGACATTACTACTTGGACCTCTCATGAGACATTCAAAATCATTATGTCTCCCATGTATCAATTTCTTGCTCTAAATCTCTGTTCTTCCTTTAATCACCTCCATAAATGGCATTTCTTTTCTTTTTTATTTTCTTTTGGCTGTCATGGGGCCTGAACTCTGGGCCTGGGCGCTGTCCCTCAGCTCTTCAGCTCAAAGCTACTGCTCTACCACTTGAGTCACAGTGCCACTTCCAGCTTTTTCTGCTTCTGTGGTGCTGAGGAATTGAGCCCAGGGCCTCATGCTACCATTGAGCCACCTTCCCAGACCCGGCCATCTCTTGATAAAACTTCAAAATCATTTCTTGAAGGGAAGGAGAGACAGTGCCTTAACTTCTGACCACCTGCTTCAGCCTCAGGAACACTGAGATTGCAGGGGTAACCCACCATACCTGGTTTCAGAATCATTATTGACTATTTCTCCTCTCTCTACTTCCTCAGTACCTATCAAATCTATCTACTTCTTTCTATCCTCACTGTCACTATTCTTGCTTATTTATGGCTCACTGAAACAGTGATTTTAAATTCAAAATGCCCCATTGGTGGCTCATGACTATAATCCTAGCTCCTTAAGAGGCTGAGAATGGGAGGATCATGGTTCAAGGCAGCCCAGGCAGAAAAGTTCATGAGATTCCTCCTTACCAGTAGCTGGACATGGTGGCACATGCCTGTCATTCTACCTATGTGGGACATTCAGATTGGAGGACTGCAGTTCCAGGCTAGCACAAGCAAAAAAAGTCCATAAGGCTCATCTCAATGGAGAAGCTGGGTATGGTGTAATATTGAGTATTATCACAACTACTGTGGAGAGCCTAAAAGAGGAGGATCACAGTCTAGGCATGTATGGACCAAGTAGGAATTGAGTGCAGAAGAGGGCTGGAGCCATGGCTCAGCAGTAGAGTACCTGACTAGCAAGCATGGCTCTGAGTTTAAACTTCAATACTGAAGGGGGAAAAAGCCAAAATTGTGTTTAGAAGTATGAAGTCAGCTTTACCCTGGTACAAATCCTAGTCTAAAGAATAAAACATGTTACCTCATATCTCATCTTTCTATGCCAGTGGTTTTAAAGTTTGAAGTTTACTCTATGCGTAAGTTACTTTCTTCTTATGCATGAGAGTGTAACTTGCAGGCAACTCTCTTCATCTGTTCCTTCAGAAACCCAGGAACTGTGAGAAAGCAACTATGTTACCAGGCACATTGGTAGGAAAAAACCCTTCCTGCTGAATCACTAAGAAGTCACTGAACGGAATCTGGGTATGTGACTATAACTATGTTCAGAACACAATACTTGGGTTTTCCTAGAAGGGTGACTCTTGTAACTTGAACATGTCTATTGTGGGGTCTTCAATGACATAACTATGGAAATGTCATGTGAGCACAGGTTTCTATGTTGGAGGAGCTCTCTACCATTCTGGATAAAGACCTCAAGTTTTAGCCAAGTGCCAGTGGCTCACATCTGCAATCCTAGCTATTCAAGAGGCTGAGATCTGACTTCCAATTAACTACCAGCAAGCTGAAAGTGGAGCTAGTGGTAGAGTGTCAGCTTTGGGTGAAAAAGCTAAGGGACAACATCCAGGCCCTGAGTTCAAAACCTCAGTACTGGCACAAAAACAACAACAACAACACATCTCAGTTCTTGATCCTCGGGACAGGATAGCTGCTCTAGGAACTTCATTGAAGAAAAGTGCCTGGTGCTGTGTTGCTTGGCAAGCTGTGGTTTCTGCCCTCTATCGTTTCCAAGGAGACTGCTGTTAAATGTGGCCCGCCACAGTCTTTTGACTCAGAAAAGTGAAGCTTAACTTAAATCGACTTTGTGGTGGGTGCTTTTACATTGTTTACTTTTACATTGTTATCAGTTACATATGGGTTTATATTTTTATCTCTATAAACCAAAAAACATGAAATAGAAGGCAAAGCATGGACTATCAACACATTGAAATGATTTCACAGCTTATTAAGAGGTTATGACCACTCCTTTCTGAAAAAAAGGAAAAAAAAAAGAGCAATGCCTACTTACATAGGCTGTTCTGAGAATGAGAACAGCCAGCCCACATGGGGTACTTAGCATAGGACTTCGTATACAGCAAGATTCTCTAAACATCAGTATTATCATCACTGACAGTGTTCTAACTGTTCTTCCTACCAACAGTATTGACCATCTCTAATTTATTCCCTGCACATTGCCAAGAGAGAATTTACTAAAGTCTGATCATGTCAAATACTTGCTTACAAACTCTTCCCCCCCCCTCCCCAGTCCTGAGGCTTGAACTCTGGGCCTGGGCACTCTACTACTTGAGCAACAGTGTCACTTCCAGCCTTTTCTATGATTTAATTGGAGATAAGAGTCTCACAGACTCTCCTGCCCTGGCTGGCTTCAAACTGTGATCCTCAGATCTCAGCATCCCGAGTAGCTAGGGTTATAGGCATGAACCAACAGTGCCTAGCTTGCTTACAAATTCTTTAATGGACACCTAATACTGCTAGGATAAGGCCTAGGTTCCTGCATAGGCTGCAAGGATCCACAGCCTCATCTCTAGTCTAGCCCAGGCCAGGCTGTTGGCCCTCTATACTCTACCACCACAAGCCTCCTTCGCTCCTGGAACTTCCATGCAGTTCTCCATTTTAGCCATGCATATATGTTTGCTCTACCTTCTGCCTAAGACACTTCCATTCTTCCTCCAAAACTTTGTCAGGCTAATTTTAAAAGATTTTGGTCTTAGATTGAATATCACCTCCTACAAAAACCCTTGAGGAAACTTTCTGAGGAATGGGTTGGGTGTCTTTCCCATGTGCTCTCATTCTTCTCTGTATTCCCTATCATCAGCACTGTCATTGCCTAGCTGTCTCTGAAGATCTCTGATGACAGAGAACCTTCTGTCTTAAAAACAGTGGCTCTGTATAATGTTTGCTCATAAGGTATTTATTATTAAAGATTTAGCTGATCAATGACTGAATCACCTTATCTTACTACTTCCAATCTCTCCTCAGAGGCAATTTGTAAATCATGTATGCTGCTGTCACAAAATTCCTTTCTCTTCTCTCTGCTGCAAACCAAGGGCTTCCATTAGCCCTCATCCTTTGTCCTAGGCAAGTCAACAATTCTCAAGGCCTAGACCATCTGCCTTGAGAAGGGTGAAAGTCCGTCTCATGAATGGAAGAACACGCTCAGGAGAACATGAGCAGGCAGGGTGGCTAGGACTAGGTAGAGATTCAGTGATACCCTTCCAACCTTGGAAGTAAGACTGCTTACTGGTCCATTTGGTGTTGCTTCGTTTTCTAATATACAGTCATAATTGTGCTCTTTTCCTAATGCCAAACATGTTTCTAGCACATCAGTACTGTAATACCTTAATTGCTTTTTTTGGGTGCTAGTCCTGGGGCTTGAACTCAGGGTCTGGGCACTGTCCCTGAGCTTTTGTGCTCAACATTAGTGCTCTACCATTTGAGCCATAGCTCCCCTTCCAGCTTTTTGGTGGTTAAGTGGAGATAAGAATCTCACAAATTTTCCTGCCCAGAGTGGCTTTTCAACAGTGGTTGTCAAGAATAACAAGCATGAGCCACCAGTGCCCGGCTCTTAACTGCTTTTAATTTGGGAAGTTTTCTCTTCCCTCACTTCACATTGCTACCTGCATTGGGCTATGGCTAACAAGCCATGACATTAGCTTCCTTGTAGCAAAGAAATCGGCATGAGAAATTTTTAGCGAAGTACAATCTGAATGCAACTAAATCAATAAACCTGCTTATAGGCTGCTTAGAAAGGGCCTAAGAGGTTTTCTGTCCTACCCATCCCACCACTGGACTTCTCGCCGGTTCACTCACCTGTGGAAGAAAGTTTGGACGTGGAGTGAGTCTAGGAGGGGGGATAAACTGTGGTACTTTGATGGGCTGAGGAGGTGTTGCCTGAACCTGCTAAAAAAATGGGAAAGATAAATGAACAAGAGGAACAAAGCTCATCGTTTGATATCAAAGCTAGACACTCTTACAGCATTTTTATTTTCTATTCTCTGGATCAGACAATATTTCTACAAGCTTTCTCTGCAGAGTTGACCATCTGAATGAATGCTGCACTAAAAAACTTTTTGCTTTCCTACTCGCATGCTTTACCCCATGAAAGGAACCCACTAGGCTTCTGTTTCTTCACGTAACACACGTAGAACACAGCAGGTTCAGCAATCTTAGACTACTTCCTTTGACACTCAAGGATACATGCATTTACATATCTTAAAAATAAGAACTGGATCCAAAGTAAAATCAAACTTGCTGCCTGGCCAGACAGGCTTTTCCGAGGTAAGAGTTTCACCCGAAACTTCCAGCATCCAGCTAAGTGCTCTGCTTGCTTCTCTACGGACTCCTGGATAAGTGGTGGAGTTTCACTTGGTTGCTCTCTATTTGCTTCATCATTGTCATTATTCAAAAGCCACCAAGAACTCATAGTTTATTTATTTACTTATTTAGTTAGTTAGTTGGTTGTGGGGCTTGGATTCAGGGCTGGGACACTGTCCCTGAGCTTTTTCCCTCAAGACTAGGACCCTATTAATTTGAGCCATAGCTTCACTTCTGGTTTTCTGGTGGCTAATTGGAGATAGGAATCTCATGGACTTTGCTTCCTGGGCTGGCTTTGAACTGTGATCCTCAGATTTCAGCCTCCCGAGTAGCTAGGATTACAGGCATGAGCCACCTGTTCCTGGCTCCTACTTTTGATTTTACATCAAAATTTTGGTAGTTCCCCCTCATTATCTAAAAATATCAGTTGCTGAATGACTTTATCCTAGAAATCTCATGAACAATTCTTGTCCAAATATTTCCTCCAAAAGAGCTTGGTTTAAGGATTTTGTTCTTTTTTTTTTCCCTCCTCAACTAATGCATTACTATGTGAGCTTCTTCAGCATTTTAAAGGTGTGCCCCAACCAACTCCTAGTACGTCCTGGTTGCTTTCAGTTGAAAGACATAGTGCAATAAAAGAATTTAGTGGAGACTTTTCCCCAAAGCAGCAATACAGCACAAGAAAGCTTAAACACCAAGTTCCACAGGGAGGACAGTGGACAGGAAGAAGAGAAAGAGAAATGAAACCGCAAGCACTTCTGTGAAGGACATTTTCCTCCCCAAAGTCATACTCTGACCACAGACGATACATTAAATGTGGTCCCTGGTATCACGACACCTCTGTAACCAACTGAGCAGACATTAAGGGACGCTAGACTTCCTCATCAAGCCCACACAGGAGTTTGGGAGACAGTTATAGACACTGAGAAATCAAACAGGAGCTACGCTGAACATAGTCTACAAATGTATAACCCTTTTATGTGTGCACGCATGAGGAGCATTTGCTGGCTTACCAGAGTGACTGTGTTTTTTGCCACAATTTGGACAGCCTCTGCCCCAGGCCCAGTGACCTTACTAGACGTCTGGAGGTTGACTGGTGTGTTCTGCACATCAGTGCCGAGCACAGCCTTCTGACTGTTGATGGCGGTCACCATAGCAATGGTAGGTCTCTGGCCCACAACAGAGGCAGGCATGGTCGCAGTTGCTGCTTTCAAGACGAGAGGTAGTGTCTTTGTGGTAATCATAGAAGCTGTAGTTACAGTCTTCTAGGAGACATGGAGAACAGATATTAGGACACCGAAATGTGATCCTATTGAACAATATATTGCTGAACTCCAAGAGGAAACAAAGCAATAATTCTCATAACCCATCAAGTTCTTCTATATAACAATTCTTTTGTGTACACAGAGCACAATTCTTGCTAGGGAGAAAGATAATCTCTAGTTTGCTAGAGTTCTCAAATTAGTGTCACTTGTAAATGGGCAAGTACTTTCTAATGACTATAAAAAGTTAAGAGAAGCACAGGGTTTTCAACAACGAATGGAGTAGATCTACAGATACAGAGTATTTTTTTTTCTAAATCTTTGCCAGAAATCAATCAATTTTTCTACAAGTTGCAAATCAATGAGGGACATAGTATTTCTACCCTTAATGCTACAACCTCACCAGTATGAACAAAGCCATCATAAAATTACAGTTGTCTGCTTCCTGTGCTACAGGGTAGGGGGGGTAGGGGCGGTTGTGGCAGGAGAGAAATTCACATGAGGATTAGTGCAAGTGTTGCCTCAGAGGTGGTAAATCCCAAGCACCAGCTAATGAACCATATTAGCCAACTAGCGTAGGGAGCACCAGCTCCTGATAGCAAAGGGATATAAGTCACTGTAATCCTTTCTCTGAAGATCTGCTGCTGAAGTGATCAAAGATTCAGTGGAACATGACAAGATGGAAACAAACACCTGAGTTTCAAAAAGCTGTAGAGATCAGAGGCTGAGCTGAAGTGAGAGGACCTGACTGATGCTCCCTTAAGTGCCACTGCGGCTTTGAAGCTGCATTTTCCTAGACTTTTGACTAGAATAATTACAAGTGTCAGTGACAAAGCAAGAGAGCAGAAACAACCTTATTACATGGCACACATATCTATCTGGTGCTATAAGTCACAAAATGCAGATGGTTTAGGAACAGGTACATTTATCTGGGCCAATGCACTGGTTTTCATACTCCTCCTTCTGTTCTTAATTTGTATTTACACCATATAAGTTGGTAGCTACTAGCCACATGTGACTATTTAATTTTAAAATTAGAAGCTGGGCACTGGTGGGTCATCCTAGTTAGGAGACTGCAATCAAGAGGATAGTAATTTAAAGACAGCCTAGACAAAAAATATTGAAGAGACTCACAATAACCAGCAAGAAGCCTGGCTGGAGGAATAGCTCAACTGGTAGAATGCCCACCCAACAAACATGAGGCCCAAAGTTCAAACTCCTTTTTTTGTTTTGATTGGTCATGACTTGAACTTAGGGCCTGGCCAGTGTCTCTGAACTTTTTTTGCTCAAGGCTAGTGATCTACCACTTTGAGCCACAGTTCCACTTCCAGTTTTCTGATATAAGAGTCTCACAGACTTTCCTGCCCAGGCTTAGCTTTGAGCCATAATCCTCAGATCTCAGCCTTCTAAGTAGCAAGGATTACAGGTGTGAGCCATCTGCACCAGGCTTAATTAAAAAAAAAATTATAGCCAGGCACTGTGGCTCATACCTGTAATCCTTGTTATTCAGAATGCTGAGATCTGGGGATCTGGAGATTCAGCCCCGGCACAAAAGCCCAGACAGGAAAGTCCATGAGATTATCTCCAATTAATCATCAAAAAAACTGGAAGTGGAAGTTGTGGCTCAAGTGGTAGAGTACTAGCCTTGGGTATAAACGTTCAGAGATAGTACCCAGGCCCTGAGTTCAAGCCCTAGGACCAGTACATAACAAAAATTTGTAAATGGAAAAAACTCAAAATAATATCAATTCCTTAGTTGCATTAGCCACATTTCAAATGTTCAAAAAACACAGGTGGCTAATGGACAGCGACTATAGAGAATATTTTTTTAACACTGCAGAAGATCCCATACTAGTGAAAAGCACTCTTATTTTCTCCGAGACATACCAACTTCTCTTATGAATTTCTATTTTAGTACCCATGTATTAAATTCTTTGAGTATAGGTAATCAATTTCCACTTCTGCCTTACATCCACAAACACAATGTATATTTTAAATTCTTTTGTTTTATTTTTATTATTATTTTTTGGGTCCGGTCGTGGGGCCTGAACTCTGGGCCTGGGCACTGTCCCTCAGCTCTTCAGCTCAAGGCTAGCGCTCTACCACTTGACCAACAGCGCCACTTCTGGCTTTTTTTCTTTTTGCTTATATGGTGCTGAGGAATCGAACCCAGGGCCTCAGGCATTCAAGGAAAGTGCTCTACCACTGAGCTACCTTCCCAGCCCAACTTCTTTTATTTTTAAAAGATATTAATAATCATAGTTTAATCAGTCATCTTTATTAAAATTACCTTATCTCTGATTCTTCTTCTCTGAGGCAATAACACCACAGTGGCTTATTCCCATCACTGTTTCCCCAAACATGAAACTAAAGCAAAGACTTATAGCACAGTTGCTTTTTGTTTGTTTGTTTGTTTTAGTCAGTTGTGGGCTTGAACTCAGGGCCTGGGCTCAAGGCTAGCACTCCACTTTGAGCCACAGTGCCACTTCTGGTTTTCTGATGGTTAATTGGAGAAAAGTCTCACAGACTTTCCTCTCTGGGCTGGCTTTGAACCTCAATCCTCAGATCTCAGCTTCCTGAGTAGCTAGAATTACAGGTGTAAGTCATCAGTGCCCAGCAGCATTTTTCTTTTTCTTTCCTTTCTCTAAATGCTAGGAATCAAATACCTAGGGGTGTAAGGATGCTAGGCAAGCACTCTACCCTGGGTTACTTCCACAGACCTAATGTCAGCTATGTGTAATAAGAGAGGTTTAAGTGTGTGTGTGTGTGTGTGTTTTAAAACATAGTTTGATATCAGCCTTAAGTTTAATACAAAGAGCTTTTGAAGTGGTGTGCATTCAATGCTGGTTATAGAAGGAAAGCTCTGATCAGCAGAATCAATGATAGGGATTTTTTTTTTCTTTTTTGTCAGTTGTGCAGCTTGAACTCTGGGCCTGGGCACTGTCCCTGAGCTCTACAGCTCGAGGCTAGCACTGTACCACTTGAGCCACAGTGCCACTTCTGGTTTTCAGAGTGGTTTATTGGAGATTAGAGTCTCACAGACTTTCCTGCCTGGGCTGTCTTTGACCCATGATCATCTCTCAGATCCCAGCCTCCTGAGTAGCTAGGATTACAGATGTAAGCTACCAGCACCCAGCAATGATATGGATTTTGAAAATAGTTCTGCGTTTTGTGACAGCTTTCTTTCTTTTCTTAATTGGCATATATGAAATTGTATATAGCAGGACATTTTATCATGACATTTCCATATATGCACACAATGTACTTTGATCTTTTTTGTTTTGTTTTGTTGTTTTTTTTGGGTCTGGTTGTGGGGCCTGAACTCTGGGCTTGGGCGCTGTCCCTCAGCTCTTCAGCTCAAGGCTAGCGTGCTACCACTTGAGCCACAGTGCCACTTCCGGCTTTTTTCTTTTTGCTTATATGGTGCTGGGGAATCGAACCCAGGGCCTCAGGCTTGCATGGCAAGCGCTCTACCACTGAACCACCTTCCCAGCCCTGTACTTTGATCTTATTCACCCCCCTGTTACTGCTTTAAAACATGCAATGTATGTTTGCTTTAAATAACCTTTGTTCAGGTAAATCATTATCAATATTTTAATGATCAATATTTACCTGATTATTCTAGAAATACTGAATAAAACCTGAAATCTACCTTACTGATACCCCAATGCTGAAATAACACTGAAACCTGACAAGTTTGTTCACATCTTATAAGTTAGTATTTATATTTTATTTACAAGTACTTAAGTTGTGGCTGACTTCATAGCAAATATTCTATCATCTATACAATTCTGATGTACAGGCACAGGATCTAGTACTGAATGCTTCAGCAAAAACTTCTCAAAGAACGTATTTACTGTTCACTGATACTACATCAGTTTACTTCAATTTCCACTCCTAGTCTGGTGCTTCCTCTACTCTCAATATCAAGGAAAATAAACTATTGGTTTGTTAAGGTTAGATATGAAAGGGAATCAAAATGTAAGCCTAATGCAAATGTCTGAACTGTCTGGCAGGAAGGGAAAACAGAGAAAATGACTGTCCCACAACAAAGAAAATTATTTTTATGGAAGCTCTAATTATTCTTGGTTACTTTATGCTCTTCAAGCTTGACCATCTTCAAGATGAGGGAGAGCTACTTGACAGTTTCATAAAGTTCTTTAATTTTTTTGTTTTATTATAAATTTATCTTTATTTCTTTATTGAGATTAGGTAATTACATAAACTTCACAATATTGTGGGATAGTGATACTTAGCAAAAGTCACAAACACATTTGAACCTTCACAAGGTGAATTGTCATTATCATGGTCTATAAAGCTTGTGAACTCTACAAACTTTGACAATACAACTATTTCTTCCAAATTGGGTGATATGTACAATTTTTCCTTTTGCTTAATGTAAACTGTTCCCTCTTTCTCTCTCCCTCCCTCTCTCCCTTCCATCATTGCTCTTGAGTTGCTTAGTTTATGTTCATCAATGTCCAGTACAGCTGATAGATACCTCTCTGCTGTATTTTTTCAACTGTTTCCCTCTGGTAAGTTCTTTAATTTTGACAGGACCCAAATTGCATGAGAAATACATTGCAAATAACACTAGCAGCAATTAATTAATTAATTGCTGCTAGTGTTATTGTCATTAACCTGAAAAATACTTAAAACAGACGAATGCCGAAGTACAAATCAGAACTTAGAGGAATTATTACCACAGGCTCTCATTAACCAACACATCTATTTTACATTGTTTGCTTCATTTTGACTGGAAGGTCACTGTCATGCACTCAAACATCTACAAATAGAACTCTCCCTCCTTTTATCGCTTAAGGGTTTGTTTTTATTAACTGCACTCTTCTTAAATACATCATAGTAAATTTGCACTTTTCATTCTATCATTAAAAAATAAAAGGGCTGTAGCTGGGTGCAAGAGGTTCATGCCTATAATCCTGGCTACTCAGAAGCTGAGCTCTGAGGACCAAGGTTCAAAGCCAGCCTGGGTAGGAAAGTCTGTAAGACTCTTATCTCCAATTAAGCACCAAAAAAGCCTGGAGTAGAGCTGTAGCTCAAGTGGATATTAGCTTTGAGCAGGAAAGCTCAGAGGTAGTGCCTACATAATGAGTTCAAGCCCCAGGACCAGCACACACACAACAAAAGAAGAGTTGTGAAGGCAGGTTGAAAGTATGCATGTACTTGCAGGTTCTAGTTTTTCATTTTCACTTTTTCCTCAGTTGGAGCTAACCTGGTAAAGGGAACTGGGCTTACCCTTTCCTCAAAACGACTTTTTGGTGTTCTCTGGGTTTAGGTATTTTCCAATCACTTAACTTGAAATCAAAAAAACTTTCTCTAGCATTTTCCCCTGGCCACTAATGGCTCAGTATTCCTTTCTGGTTATATAATATATATATATCTATATCTATATATATATACACACATACATACACATATTATGTATTTAATACATATATAATCTCATATATTATATATAAATAAATAAAACCTCTGCTTTTATGATCCTTTCATTACTTCCCTAGGACTGACAGAATACTCAACTTTTTGGTGCTTTTTCTTCTGGCTCTACCCGCCTCCTCCCTCCCATCAGTTCATGGACTCTGTACTTCAACAACAGTCTACTTGTTGTTCCTAAGTCATGTATTTTTTGTTGTCATTACTGTTTTCTTTTGGGGGTGTGCGCGCAGGTACTGGGGCTTGAACTCGGTGCCTCATGCTCTTGCTTGGCTCTCTTACATCTCATGCTTTACCACTTTTATCTTTTCATGTTCGTTTTTCCTTCCTTTGTTTTGTGCTAGTACTGAGGCCTTAACTCAGGCCTTGCACCCTTATTTAGCTCTTTCATTCAAGGCTAGGACCCTACCACCCTGAGCTACTTTTCTAGTACAGTTTTTTTTGCTGGCTAATCGAACAGTCTCTATCTTAAGACTTTTCTTCCTGGGCTAGCCTCGAACCATGATCATCAGATATCAGTCTTCTTAGTAGCTAGAAATATAGGCATGAGCCACTGGAGTCTGCGTTGTTTGCTCTGTTTCTGAGACAACATCTCGCCTTATGGTTTGTGGATGGCTTTGAACCTATGGTCCTCTGGCCTCAGTTTTATGAATGCTCAAAGAACAAGCTGCACGACCTAGCCCAGCTTTGCATATTCCATTTCTTTCCTTTCCTTTCTCCTTTCCTTTCCTTTCCCTCCTTTTCTTCTCACCCTCCCTCCTTTCATCCCTTTCTTTTCCTTTACTGGGCTTTGAACTCCAGGCCTCAGCCTGCTAGGCTGGTCCTCTACTACTTGACGCAATCTGCCAGCCACTGTGTACATTGTACATTGGTTATTTTTTAGATAGGGTTGTGTTTTATGCCAGAGTTGGTCTGGACTGCAATCTTCCTATATCTGTGCTTGTTCAGAGGGACTGTTCTGATTAAAATTGCCCTGTTTTCCGGTATTTTTTTTACACTCTCTACTGCTATTTCTAGTTTTGTTTTGTAACAGTTTGTTTTTTCCTATGTCTTTTTTTTTTTTTTTTTTTTGGTAGAGGAGCACAATACAAAGGGTTTAAACACTAGGCCTCGTGCTTGCATGGCAGGTGCTCTAGCATTTGATCCATGCCTGAAGCTCTTTTTTGCTTTGCTTCTTCAGGCAGAGTCTTTGCATTTTTGCTCAACCTTGGCCTGATATCTTTCTATCTAGGCCTTCTGCCTAACTTGGACTACAAGGAGTATGCCACCACACATAGCCTATTTGTTGAGGTGAGATCTCACTAACTTTTTGCCCAGGATTGGCCTGGTGCCATGATCTTCTAATCTCTGCCTCTTGAGTAGATGGGATTATGGAAATGAGCCACTACACAAAGCACTCTATTTTTTTTTAATTCTTAAAAACAGAAACAATCTTATTTGTGAACATAGCTTCAACACTGCCAAACACGATGCTTGCAATAGTAGAGATTCAGTAAATACTTAGAGAATGAATGGAAATTTTTTTTTTTGTTGTTAGCACAATTTCCTTTTTATCTCCAGTAGCAAAATACAGATCATGAACCCATGGATCTTTCTCTCCAAGGCAGGGGAGAAACGGAGTTCTCAGTGCAGTACACACTCGTGTGTACAGCCGATTTCTTCTAAGAGGCCTTAGCTAGGAACCACCTTATTTGTCGCGGAACACTTTAGCAAGGCAAAGCATCACAGGACACTGGAACCTGCGGCCCTGCACCCATCTTTTCACTTCCCTACTCTTGCAATGAATGGAAATTTTATGATCACAGTGTACCAGATCCTTGGTAAGGACTGTCATTCTTCATCTACCAGAATCTAGCACGTAGCCAACATTCAATGTATATTGAAGGACAGTTTATTGTGAAGACAAACACCAAAAGCCTAGAGGATCCTTTGGATCTTAACATGAGACCTTTGCATTAAACAAAACAATGTAAAGCAAAGGTTAATCAATTGATGTCAGGTGGGTTATCAGATGGAGAGATGCTATATAAAACTGTTTGGGGCTAGTCCAGGCCCCTCACTGCCCACCATCCCTAAGCAGTACAGAGCTTACATGACCAGCAAGGGAAGAGCTATTATAAGTATTTTAAGTATGTCATAAATAATTCCTGACTTGTGTAACACGGCATGTCATTGGAATAGAGAACTCCTATGTGCCAGGAAACAACAAATCTTACCACACTCCTTCCATGTCCACATTTTCTGATTAAACGGTGTTTTGGAAGAGAACAACCTAACCCAGCTTTGTTTAAAACTAACAAAAGTCATTCTATAGAAGCAATGTTGGCCCAGGTCAGGAGAATTACTTCCTTTTGAGGGAGGAGGAACGAGTGTGGATTGAACTTGGCCTCAGGTTATTGGGTAAGAGGTCTACAACTTTAGCCATATTCCAGCCAGCTCTTCTGGGCTTAACTTTTTAGACAAGGTCTTTAATTTTTGCCCAAATTAGCTTCAGATTGAAATCCTCCTACACCTTTCACATAACTGGAATCACAGATGTGCACTACCATGTCCAGTTTATTGGTTCAGATGATAATACCTCACCAACATTTTGCTCAAATAATAATCTTTCTGCCTCTAAGTAGCTTGGCTTATAGGCATGCATGTATTATATATGTATACACATTATATACGTATACACATGTACAATATACATATATGTGCATATATACACATATGCATATATATACATACATACAAAATTAAGCGTTGATGTGTGGAAGGAGTACATGATTTGTTTTTGGAAGATCCCAAAGCTCTGGAAATGTACAAAATTAAGTGTACTTGGCACTGGTGGCTGAATCTATAATCCTAACTACTTAGAGGGCTGAGATTTGGAGGACAGTGGTTTAAAGCTAGTCCAGGCAGAAATGTGCAGAAGACTCCATCTCCAAAATACCCTACAAAAAGCTAGGCTAGAAGGTGGCTCCAGTGGAAGAGAACAAGATGAAGAATCAAATCGAGTAAACATGAGACCCTGAGTTCAAATCCTGCTGCTGGCAAAAGGAGGTATATTAAGTATATATGTGTATTGGGGGGGGGTGACAGCTTACAATAGTGTGAAAAGGGCATGTAATCTCAGGACCTAAATGAGTCCCTTCCATAATGCAGGTCAGCATCTGGAGACTAAGCTTGAAGAGTTTTCTTTAGTGAACATCACCTCCACGTGCATCCTTTGAGAGTCTCTATGGCCCCATGATCCTTACATTTTATGCTAGTTTCTAAGCTGGTAGGTAAGGTGCATTACAAAGCTTCTGTTGGCTCCAGTTTGTACATGTAGTTCTTGTTTATGATTCCCATCAGTGTATTAGAGCACATGCATATTTTCATGAATATGGACTTAAAATGAAGATTTTTTCTATGAATAATAAAAACAGCATCCTTAGGAATGCCTCTTTCCACCTGGTCCCAAGTGTGTCCATCTCAATTAGTTCCACGTGTAATTGCTAGGAATTCCGGAGGAAAAATTCCAGAAGGGATTGGCTCACACTGGCTTTTAGAACAAGAACAAATGATCACCTCCAGACATTCAAACTAAAATTTGATTCTGTTAATAGAGAAGTGATTTTTCTTTATCACTGACTACCTTTCTTTACTTTTTAGAAAGGTAAGTTTTTTTTCTTTTTCTCCTGGTAGTGAATTTCAACTCATTCTCATTCCAGCTACAGTTACAAGATGTAACTAGAAAAGCTTCATTTATTGCTAGTGGAGCTTGGGCTACCGGACACAGGATACATTAACACATCAGTGTATGACACAGTCTTCGAGCGCCATCCACACTTTTACCTGTGAAGCAGTCAAGGTGGGAGAGGGTGCAGCTGACTGCTGGGCGTGGTGGTGGTGGTACTGCTGTAGTTGCTGTAGTGGTTGCTGCTGTGCTGTTGTTAGTTTATTTTCAGATTGTGGCAATGGCTGTATTTGGAACTTGTCTGGTTGTTCTTGCTTTACTATCAGGTTCTTCCGTAGCTGTTCGACTACTCTTTTCTATCAAATGAAGACAAACAAACAAACATCTATCAGGATATTGTTTTATCAGAAGCACAGAAATATTCAGCAATTTTATTCAACTAGTACCTTCTTATAATTAGCTTCATCAAAACCTTGTTGCTTGAAATTTTAGAGGTTCTATATTTGAGGGTTTTAAAGAACCTATCAAACAATACCATTTATATAAAATGAACAGTATATCAGAAGTAGAGATGTGGCTCAAGTGCTAGAATGCTAGCTTGGAGCTAAAAGCTCCAGGACAGCACACAGGCCTTGAGTTCAAGCCCCAGGACCAAGACAAAAAATAAAATAAACAGTCTAAGTAGTGCTTTATATATAAAGGGAAATTGAGGCACACAGATAAAAAAAGTGAAGGAGAGTTCAAATCTCTTTTCTTTTTCTGAGATAGGATCTCTATCCATGGAGACCATGCTGGCCTTGAACTCACAGTTCTGCCTCAGCTTTTTGAGAACTGACAATCACAGAAGCACATCACTATATTCAGGTCAAAGTTATTGACTGTAAGTTTAGCACATTAGGCCAAATGAGAAGAATGATAATAGTAAGCACAGTAGCAAATGCACAACTAAATTTGAAGCTTAGTTGATTTTCTTCCCAGCTATAAGATGTTGTGCAAATGTCCTAATTTACCTGTGTCTCAATGAGCTGATCTATAAAGTGAGTGATAACAGTATCATGAGAAATCATTATGGTTTTTATGAGTATCAAATGAACACGTATCTTGGTATGATAGTACCCATGTATGTGTGTGTATACAAACACACACCTGAATATACAAATACAACTCAAGACCACATAATGTGAACTGAAGAATTCAGAATAGTGAAATTGGAACAATATTGATTACTATTATTTTTCACATCTGATAATATAGACATAGCATGTATCTAACACAGTATAAAATCTTAAGTCGATTTTTAAAAGAAAACCATGACATCAGCAAATGCAATATAAACAACAAACATCATAGCCAAGCACCGTGGCTCACACTTGTAATCCTAGCTACTCAGGAACATGGTTCGAAGCTAGCCTGGGCAAGAAAGTCCATGAGACTCTTAATTCCAATTAAACACCAAAAAAGCTGGAAGTGGAGCTGTGAGTATAAAAACTCAGGGACCCAATCCTCAAACACAGTGTCCAGGTCTTAAGTTCAAGTCTCAAACACACACATACACACATGGACCCAACAACCAGACATCATAAATTCTTCTCTCTCTCTCTCTTCCCCCACCCCTCCCTTTCTGCCAGTCCACCAGTCCTGGGGCTTGAACTCAGGGCCTTGGTGCTGTCCTTTAGCTTTTTCACTCAAGGCTGGAGCTTTACCACTTGAGCCACAGCTCCACTTCCCAATATGTGTAGCTCTTCAGAAGAACTTCTTTGCTGGGAAGCTGTAGAAATACTTATTTAGGCAAAAATTTAGCTACATGGTATGGAAATTTTAAATGCAAGCTTCTTGAACTTACTAGGCCTTGTTCAAAGCCAAACCAATATATTTTTTGATACCTTCATTGCTGTAACAATATATCCTCCTTCCCTTCCTTTTCTGAGCTGCTGGGGACTAACCCCAGGGCCTGCACGTGCAAGGCAAACACTATACCGTGGAGCCTACTAAGAGTACCATTCATCATGGCGTAAGCTGTACAACGACAGGGACCTCTATTGTTCACAACTGCCTCAGCTCTGAGTATTATGCTGCTGAGCTATGTCCTTACTCCCTACCCAGTATCCGTAAAGTGATGGGGTCTGGAGACTAGCTATGGCTCAGGGAATATGTACAGACAGTAACAACCGTTTGAACCCGACTGAACTCTGACTCTCTGGTCCTGATGGCTTGAAAAACAAGCACATGCAGCATTCCTTTTTCCCTTCCAAGTGACTTCTGCTGCAGTATACTCTTTTTGATAACAAGATTGCTATTTCTGTAACAGATTGTGGATGGAGAAAAAGAAGTTCAGTGCTAGTTTAGCTTTGTATAAAGCTTTAATAAAGGGGTAGGGGAAGCCGTATCAGCCAGATTAATTGTCAAATTCCTACTATGGCCCCAATCAACTTCACCACTCTTATTCTCTAAAGAATCCAACTCTCAACATGTTTGAACATTAAAATGCTGGCAAAATGGATTTTTTAAAAACTTGAAGTCAATACAAAATACATTCTTGAGAGATTTTTATGTTGCTATTGATTCTTTTTAGACAATGAAAATATCATATAAAGGACAATTTGGGGGGAAAACGATTCTGCTATAGATTATATATCCTGCTAACACTGCTTCTTTGAATAAGTTTTGCTGTTGTTTTTTGTTTCATGAATACAGAGGTCAAAGTCTTTGCAGAATCCATTCACAGAATAATAAGAACATAAATTAAAAAGATCAAGTGCTTATGAAAGTTAACTTTCATGTGTTCAATATTCTATTTCTTAAGTGTAACAGGCAGGGGAGTGGAAGTACTGCATTTCCAAGGAGGCGAAGTGCTAGTGTGCTGCAGAGAGTTTTGAGTCTCACGTGTAGACTTTATTGCTTGGTGCTTGCCAGAACATTTAGCTGTTTAAAATGAAATAGTCATTTCAAGTTGTTTTCAGTCCTCTCTCTCACCCACTAATACATCAGCAAGCTGGCTAATGTGCAGTATCAGCAGCCACAGCAGCTCCAAGAACGCTTAACAACAACAACAAAACAAACTGAGGAAAGAAACCAGGAAGCAATAATACAAATGTGACACCTGACAAAAAAAAAAACAAAAAAAGCAGCCATCTCCTAAACTACTGCTGAACAAAACCAGCACAGGAGCACAGGAAACTGAGTAATTACTGTACCAGGCACACGAGGACAGTGTGTTTTCCTCCTCTACAGCCATGGTGTGCTCCTGCTTCATGCCTAACTGAAGTAAACTAGAAGGAAAGACCATGCCCGGGCCATTCCCGCATTCCCCACAACAGCAGGCACAGCAGAGCAAAGGGGGGGAAGGGTGCAGTGAGAGTAGTCTTCAGCCATATGGCTCGAGCAGGCGCCCACCAATCAGAACCAGAGGCAGAGTGGAGGGTGGGAGTCAAGTGAGTCACAGTGCAAGTCACAACTGTTCCTCCCAGGGCCTCAAACAAAGCCCTGGAAGCTTGCAGGGAGGGCAGGGGTGGGAGGGACCAAGACCCCAATACTAGCAAACTTACATCCATCTTTGAGGTGTGGGGAGGGGATATGAGAATCAGGGAAAGGGTTGTGCAGATTGGACACTGGTCAGAACTCGTAAGTGGGTAAAGTTTTCTTTAGGAGTTGCCTTTGGCATTCCCAAGTGTACTGCTCTGAAAAGCATGAAACCCTGTTTGCTATGTTCACCAGGTTAGAATACCACGTGCCCACATGCCCAGTCGTGCATCTCTGGAGCTATGCAGTAGAAGCACGTGCTCTTTGGGAGCAGGGATAGGCTAGAAAAGGATTGCTGCTGTGCCCACGGGCAGTTTTTTCAGGCCCACAGTCCTGTCCTGGATAGTTCAGTCTTGCTCTGGCAAACACGACACTCGGAACACTTCACAGGAGTCCAGATCTAGGTCAGCACCAGTTCTGGGTTGCAAGGAGAGAAGACAATCAAAGCAATTCATAAATCCTAGCAAAGTGGACTTAAGCAGAGTTCTCAACAGGCCAGAATGTAGGATATCCTCTGGTCTCCCAGGAGGTAATGTACACTTTCACTCATGACTTCTGTTGGTCATTAATAAAGGTTATACTTGAGTAAACAATCTGGTATTTTCAATGGCATTCACTTTTAAGGAGAGGTTTTTGACGTAGCTAATTACCTTCGAATAATATCCTGAAGCTTTGAGAAAAGGCTGAAGTTCATAAATGCCATTTGCCATTTCCCAATAAGTTTAAAGGAATTAAAAGTGAGGAAGAAACTGAAGGAGATGGGGGTGGGTGAGGAATGCTGGTAAACCGGAGGGAGAAACAGTTAATAACTTGTCTTCTTTCCTTATTGTATTTCCTATAAATAATAGACCGGTGAGGCCGGCCTCCAGAAGGGTTAGTCCCATCCCCTCCAAACCATCTGTCAGGAACAGCTCCACAAGCCCAGCCTGTAACAAGCAGCAAGCCCAGATCCCCTTGACACTCGCATCATTGGGCTTCATCAGGGCTTGTTCAGGCAGAAGAGTTCACAGAGCCACTGACACTTCAAGTCACAGTTTCCAAGACAGGTAGTCACAGTGATCAATATTGCGACATCTAGCAACACTATCAACATGCTCAAATGACACCAGGACAGATCTGGAAGGAAAATATAGAACAAGACTCCCAATACAGCAGAATATGGGTTCATGCTGGTTTCTCAAGTCAATGGCTCCAACCAAGTTCCATGGCCATGATCAATAAAGAGACAGAAATGGAGGAGCAGTCCCCAGCCTTCCCTCAATCCAGCCACCAATCTGGTATTCCCAGTAGGATCTGCAGTACAGTGTCACTTCGCATGTGCAGGCCCTGGGGTTAGTTCCCAGCCCCTCAGGAAAAGCAGCAATAAACCCCTTACTTAATGCAGTGGGGGAACTGCAGTGAAGTTACTGGAGAGTGTTCTAAGGGAAATTTTAATGTAAGAGGAGGGATACTGGTGAGTAGGTATCAAAATATTCTTAGTGAAAACTAGTTGCATTTTTTTTCATCTTATAAGATACTAGGTACTCCAAACTCACTGAGGTTGAGTTAGAATTAGATAAAGAGCTCCTGTCCGTTTTAAACTTTTTTTTTTTTACAATCCTGGGGCTTGAACTCAGGGCCTAAGTACTGTCCCTTAGCTTCCTTGTGCTCAAGGCTAGCACTCTATCACTTGAGCCACAGCACCACTTCTGGCTTTGTCTGAGTAATTTATTGGCGATAAGAGGCTCATCGATTTTTTTCTGCCTGGGCTGGCTTTGAACTGCTATCCTCAGATCTCAGCTTCCTGAGTAACTAGGATTACAGGCATGAGCCACTAGCACCCAGCTCATTTTTAACC